AATGGAAACCGGTCAATGTGCCACCTACATCAAGAATTAGAATATTGCCAATTTCATGACATCAAACTGTGTGCTCTTCTCTTACCCTGATTCTGCTTTCCTCCAGAGGTAAACGAGTTTGAATTTTATGATTTCCTTTTCTTTTTTAGAAATACTTTTTAAAAATTACATATGTCCCTAACCAATGCATTACTTAGCTTTGCTTTTTTCAGATTGTCAAAAACTATCAACATATGTTATATGGTCTTCTACAACTTGATTTTTTTTCACAAAAATTTTGTTTCTAAGATCCAATCGTTTTGTTTTGTGTTGCTGTGGTTCCTTTTTACTGCCCTATTATTATCCTGTCGTGAAGACACCATGATTTATTTATCTGCTCTTTGGCCATTGAATGTATGAGTTGTTAATTATTTTTTTTGCTATTATGAGTGATGTTACTAGAAACTCTACATGTCTCCTAGTGCTCAAATGCAAGTTACTTTTCCTCAGTACTTCCCAACTTTTTTCTCTTCATGGGACACAAAAAATACTAGTATTTGTATAGCACCCTTGGGTAAGAAGACAAGGCTCCTTGAGACCAGTGGTTCATCCTAGGTAAGCTCTGTCCAGGAGGACCTACATTATCAATGGAACTGGTGTGTGAAATTTCAAATGTATGATCTAATGACAAATTGTTGTTGTAAAAGTAGTTGCTCAAGTTTATATTCCCACTAGCGGTGTGGTGGAGCGTCTCCTGGCTCACATTCTCTGGATGATATGGTGTTGTCAGACTTCTTACAACTTGCAAGTTGACTGTCTGTAAAATAGTATCCAATTGTAGTCCTGATTTCTGTTTCTTTTTACTGATAAGTTTCAGCATCAATTTTTATAGGTTCTGGCTCTGAAGTCTCTGGTTGTACCTTGTGCCATTTTTTTCTAGTGTGTTTTCTAATTGATCTAAAGGTGGTGTCTGTTTTTCTTCATTTTTTGTTTTGTTTTCCTTTGTTTGGATTACTAACTGCATACTGGCTCATATGTTTTGCATGTACTTTCTGCATCTTGTAATTTTTCTCTTCACTTTACGCTATCTTTTGGAAAACATAAGTTCTTGATTTTAATATAGTTAAATTTATGAATCCTATTTTTATGATGAGGTATTTTTGTTTCTGTTCTCTTTCTCTATTTCCATATTCTTCTGTCTTTAAGTTCTTTTTCTTTTCCGATTGAACTTTACAGGCCTCCAGTAGAATATTGCATATACATGGTGGCATATTTTTAGAGACCTTAGATCTTAGTTTTTGATGTTGCTGTGTTGTTTGTTTGTGTCTGCTGATCCCAAGAAAGCTGTCAGCACTGCACTAACGCTCAGGTGGCATTTTTCCTCCTGGCAGATGATTGTGACGACCCACTTGTGTCTGCCTTGCCTCAGTCATCATTCAGCAGTTCTTCTGAGCTCTCCAGCAGTCATGGTCCTGGCTTTGCAAGGCTAAATAGAAGAGATGGTAAGTCTGCTCTTTTCCTCTGATCGGTCCATGGCAAATCTCATTAATTTTTCATTCTCTTTTAAACAATTATTGTAAGTGATATATTGTAAAAGGAAGTAAATTTCTGAATAAACAAATGGTTAACACTCATAAGATGTATATGACATCTAACTTCCGTTCTGGAATGGCAAAGG